TTATGGGTCCCTGATGCTCACAGCCTCCCTCCATGAGCCAAATTTGCCCTGCCCACAGCCTCAACTCCTCAGCTGAGGACAACTCCTCCCATCCTCTGGCTGCTTCCACCTAAGCCACCAGGAAATCCTGTTGGCTCCAGAGTCTGCCACCTCTCACCACCCTACTGTTGCCTCCTTGATGGGGGCTGTCGTGAGACCGCCACAGTAGTCCCCGGCCTGGTCTCCCTGCTTCTGCCCTAGCCCCTACAGCTCACAGACAGCTGCCAGAGGAGTCTGTCCAAATCAAGTTCAGATCGTGTCACTTTTCTTTCAAAATCTGACATAGCTCCCCGTTCCATTCAGAGAACGGCCCCGCCCCCTGCAGCCTTTCCTCCTCCTCCTCGTCAACCCTGCTCTTGCTCCAGCCGTCAAGATCTCCTTGCTGGTCCTGAAGCGGGCCAGGCATGCTCTGGCTGCAGGGCCTTTGCACTTGCTGCCCTCTCCTGGGATGCCCTCCTGGATCTCTGCGTGGCTCCCTCCTGCCCTCGCTCCCTTGAGTCTTTGCTCTCATGTCCCCTTCTCAGAGGGCCCCACCCTGGTGCCCTTTGAAAGTGGGCATCTAAGCCCCTCCCACCCTGGCACCCACAACCTCCACCTCCTGTCTTCCTTTTTCTGTTCTCCATCCTACTCATCTCCTCCAGTTAGAAAGGCAGCTGCGGCTGCTGGAGCGCAGGATCACCATCTGTCTGCAGATGCGTCCCGGGACCTAGAGCAGTGCCTGGCCCACAAAAGGTACCTAATAAGTATCTGCTGAATGAATCACTGGCTGAGTTTTCTGTGCCAAAGACTGAGCTAAGGCTCTTCAAAAGGATGATCTCATTTAAGCCTTACAGCAAGTAAATGTTATCCCCATCTTCCTGATGAGGACGCAGTGACCGCCACGCTCAAGGGCACAGAGTGTGGACAGAGTGTGGACGTGCCACATCCACACTCTGTGACTGAGAGTGGCTGGACAGACAGGGCTGTACTGTGCAGGGAGCCCCGCAGCTGGAGCAGGGGAGGAGTGCCGTGTGTGTTTACAGACCTCTTCAAACCAGGGAGGAAGGCCAGAAGCCAAAAAGGAAACAAGTCATATCCAGCCACATAAAAATGAAAATCCGATGGTTGGAAATCCATTCCAAATTCACATCAAAGGCAACAGATAAGTGACCCAGGCCAGGCACAGAAGGACATGCACCCATAGGATTGTGCTTGGAGCTCCCAAATGTGTAGGAATAGAAGGGCGGGTGCCAGGGGCAGAGGGTCGGGGAAAATATGTGGGTGTTTCAGGGGGACAGAGCTTCCATTTCATGAAATGAAAAGAGTTAGGAGATGGATGGTGGTGGCGGTGGCGCCGTACACTTACACGTGGTAGCAATGGTGCATTTTATGTTACGTATATTTTATCACAATTTTTTAAAATGTCAAAGGCAAATGGCTAAATGGCTCCTTGTCCTGTAGCCATAGCAGCCATCGGCTATTAGTGACAAAGCGCCTGAGTCAAGATGACAGCAGCCCCCATAACTCCTAATCGGCTCTCCGGCGTGAAGTCACTTAGGAGTAGTCGGATTAGAGACAAGTCCGACATCTAATCTTCCACCCCGGCCAGGGACCCAGCTGGCAGCGAGGGTGGGAGACTCTGGGCAGAGGAGAGGGTGCTGGCAGTGGGGCCGGCCTGGCTTGGGTCCCTCCGGCCTTTTCCCAGGGGTCCCTCGAGACTTTCTTGGGCTCTTCCGCCGCTGCTCCTGCTCCTCACCCCCTCGTTCTTCTGCAAGTATGTGGAACTGACACACGTGCCCTCACAGGTGCTGGGTGACTTTCTAGGACAGTAATCTGCTTTAGGCTAAAATGGGACTTGATCTTCTGTTAGCCCTAATCATCGATTAGAGGAGCTGGCGAAGGCACAGAACCTACCGCCTTTTTAGGCCTCTCCCCACCTCTGCCACCTCCACTCTCCTTCCTGGAATGTGGGGGCTGCCGCACTTCTGGCCCGGGGCATTGGTGGGATTGCACTGAGCTGGGTCATTAACATAATCCCGGACAAGTGCAGGCAGGGCGAGTGGCGGGCCATCTCCAGGGCCCAGGCGAGGCTGGGGGCTTCCGCATACACTTGCTTCTCCTCTGCCAGACCCCCACTTCACAGGGCATTTCATGCTGTGAAAGGGCTTCCAAACAACATGGTGGCCTTGGATGCCCAGGGAAGCCTCAGAGTTGCTTACCTCCCTCTAGACAGAAAGGGAATCTGGGCCAAGAAGGAGAGGTCACCTGTCCAAGGCCACCCGGCCAGCTCATGCTGGTGCTGCGTCAAGGCTGGCTAGCCATCCCGTGGTCAGAAGTGACCCGGTGAGGCAGGTGATCTGAAAGGAAAGCTCACTTCTGGGTCTCACACTCTTGGATCCTCAGATTCTCTGACTGCGGTGGGGACAGGCAAACCAAGCTCTCTGGGACCCAGGAAGAGAGACCCTTGGAAGTCACAACTCCTTAGGGCTGAGTTCTAGGGACTTGACCCAGTTTCAGCAAGTGGCACTGTGAGGTCTATGCCTTGGACACACCTCAGGTGTCTCATCCACAGAACAGGGACAATGACCATTCCATCTTGCCAGGGAGTGGTGGGCACACACCATGCTGCTTGCAGCCAGAGTGAAAAGTAGGGCACCCAGCTGAAGCATGGCCACAGCGGCAGGATGCAGTCAGAGAGGGGACTTCAGAGCAGAGGCCCCAAAAATAATAAGAGGAGGAAAGGCGCTTGGCAATTTTTAGTCTATTCACGGCGCTATGCAGCCATAACTGCCACCCAAGACAGAACCTGTTCGTCTTCCCAAACCGAAGCTCTGGCCCCGTTCAACCCCCAGCCCCAGGCAGCCACCCGTCTACTGTCTGTCTCTATGGATGTGACTACTCTGTGCACCTCAGAGAAGCGGAATTTTACAGTATTTGCCCTTGTGTCATCCATGTTGGAGAATGTGTCAAAGTTCTTTCTAAGGATGAGTCATATCCCATTGTCTGTAGAGACCACGTGTTGTTTATTCAATCGCCCGTTGATGTTTGTTTGTTTGTTTTGAGACAGGGTCTTGCTCTGTCACTCAGGCTGGAGTGCCCTGATGTCATCACAGCTCACTGCAGCTGCCACCTCCCACCTCTCCAGCTTCCAAGTAGCTGGGACTCCAGGCGCCTGCCACCGTGCAGAACTAATTTTTGTATTTTTTGTAGAGACAGGGTCTCACTATATTGCCCAGGCTAGTCTTGAACTCCTGGGCTCAAGTGGTCCCCTCACCTTGGCCTCCCGAAGAGCTGGGATGACTGTCCGTCGAGGGACACAGGTTGCTGCCATGTTTCGGCTGCTGGAACACTGCTGTGAGCATGCATGTGCAAACAGCCCTTCCTCACGCTGCCTCCCGTTCCTCCGGGCCTGTACCCAGCAGTGCACTCTGGGAGCAGTTTCACTCTGAGGAGCTGCCAAACTGTTTTCCAGAGTGGCTGCCTCATCACAATCCAATTTTAGAACATTTTTATCACCCATAAAGCATTCCCTGTGCCCATTAAGAAGCCATCCTCCCTCTCCCTCCCTCCCCTGTCCTGGCACCCGTTCCTCTGCTTTCCGTTTCTCTGGATCTGCCTATCCAGGCACTTCACAGAGATGGAGTCATGCTGCTCTCCAGGTCCATCCATGCTGTCACGGCCACTGTATGGACAGGCCACGTCTTGATTATCCACTCATCTGCTCCTGTACTGATGGGTTGCTTCTACCATTTGGCCTGTATTCATGCGGGTTTTTGTGTGGACACACGTTTCAATTATCTTGGGTACACAGGCGTGGATGTGCAGGAGTCAGGGAAAACAGCTCACCGGTGCCACTGGGCATCAAGCCCAGCTTTCTAGGCTGCGAATGGGCCCTGGCAAGTCCGTGGCCAGCACTCGTCTTCTCCCACATGGGGCCCCTACCTTGGCACCTAGTATGTGGCAGGCAGCAACAGATGTTAAAAGCCATTCTTGCTGTAGGTAGCCAAGCTGAGGCTCCCCGAAGCTCTAGCTTCCAGTTGGCAGCCAGGGCCACCCTGTGCCCACAGCGGAGGCCATGTTGCCAGGAGTGCTGCAGAATCGTGGCTCCGAGAACAGGAACAAACCGCAAAGGAGGCACCTGGAGTGGGCTGGATTTGGGGACTTAGGAGCCAGGAACTGGTGGCAGCCACAAGAGGGGATGTGCTCATGGGGGGCTGGAGGGTGGGCCGTGGAGGGGACAGGGCCCCTTGGTTGGAAACTGAGGCAAGGCTACAGAATTGGGCACTAACAGGTCAAGTGTGGGGCAAGAGGGACAGCAGAGATGGCCTGTCCGAACACTCTGTGGATGGGAGACTGTGGTGGGGGAAGCCCCAGGAAAGGCTGTGAACTCAGGGCAAGGGAGACGTGAGCAGGTGCAGCCCTGGGCTGCTGGGGGGCTGCACGAGCACCCTGGCAGCCGAAGGAGCTGCAGCTCATGGGGGAAAGGGGGAAGAAGGGAAGCCGACAGCAGGATACACGCACGTAGTCAGCCTGCCCACCCCCCACCCTGGGGAAGGAGCCCCCTGGCACAGATCTCGCCTGTTTGGGCCAGCGGAGATGGTCAGGCCTTGGCCCTGAAAAGTCTCCCTGTGTTTTCAAGAGAAAGGATTCGGGTTCTGGGCAGATTCATCACCCACCCTCAGTCTGCAAATCTTGACCCTTGGGTTGACCTGCCCCAAAGGCGGGCACTGGACAGTGGAAGAGAACAGAGGACACGTGAACAGTGAACACAGCGAGGGCCACCGCGGCTCCCACAGGCACCTCCACCTGCCTGGCGGGGGTGGGTGGGGCATGTGAGTTTGGTTCCCAGCAAATCCCTCTGAGCCGCCCTCACAGGCTCGCCTCAGGAGCAGGGAGGCAAGGGGTGGGAGGAGGAGGTGTAAGTCCCAGGCCCAATTAAGAGATCAGATGGTGTAGGGTTTGGGAGCTTTTAAGGTAAAGAGGCCCGGGCTGATCCCACAGGCCGGTATAAAGTGCCGTGACCCTCAGGTGACCAGCCAGGGCTGGCTGCCGTCGGGGACAGGGCTTTCCATAGCCATGGCCCAGCAGTGGAGCCTCCAGAGGCTCGCAGGCCGGCATCCGCAGGACAACTATGAGGACAGCACCCAGTCCAGCATCTTCACCTACACCAACAGCAACTCCACCAGAGGTGAGCCAGCAGGCCCATGGAGGCCACCCACCTGCCCTGCCCAAGGGAATCTCTCCTCTTCATGTCCCCACCAGCAGAGAAGGCCTTCTCCCTTAGCTTTTCTGATGACATGAATGGGGGGTCCTCTCTGAATCTAGAAGGATACCACAGGATAGAATATGCATTCTCCAGCCACACAGGCTGCCCAGCCCCTTTGCGGATCCGTGGCCGGGGAAGAGTTTATGTGCTCTTTCTCTGTGGCCCGTACCTGAGTGCCAGGTCTGTCTTTACATCTGAAGCCAGAGGAGGCAACACACTGACACACCCAAGGGAGATGGGAAGGAGGGAAAGACAGCCGCAGAGGGCAAGAAACTTCTAGAACTTCAGGGTCAGCAGAGACCTAGGTTTCACTTTGTCAAACTCCATGCTTTTGGCTGCACACCTCTGGGGAGAAGAGGCTGGACTGGTGCCTAGGGCTGTCTGCCCATTTAGAGCAGTCCTGGGAGAGAGGGCTCAGGCCCAGCAGAAAGCTGAAGGCTCTCATCAGGGCAGCCCAATCCAAAAGCTTTGCTCGCAGGCCATCCAAAGAAGCTTAGGACGCCGGTGACCGCCCCACCCCAGCCCCTCTCCCTGGGTCCCTCTTCCAAACCAAATTCCTTTGGTGCCTTCAAGAACATCGTGCAGACCAGGCGTGGTGGCTCACGCCTGTAATCCCAGCACTTTGGGAGGCTGAGGCAGGCGGATCACAAGGTCAAGAGATCGAGACCGTCCCGGCCAAAATGGTGAAATCCCGTCTCTACTTAAAATACAAAAATTAGCTGGGTGCGGTGGCTGGCGCCTGTAGTTCCAACTACTTGGGAGGCTGAGGCAGGAGAATCGCTTGAATCGGGGAGGCGGAGGTTGCAGCAAGCCAAGATCACGCCACTGCACTCCAGCCTGGTGACACAGCGAGTCTCCGTCTCAAAAGAAAACAAACAAAAAAAGACCATCATGCAGGCTGTGGTTTCCAGAAACCACGCCAGCTCCTTGGCTGCCAATAAATCCCTTGCTATGGGGTGGCCAGAACCAAGTGCCAATTTGTGACGGAGTGTTCCGACCACACCGGCTGAGGGTCTTGCAGTTGACCTCAACATGACTGTGCCCAGAATTTCCTTGGTGACGACGCAACAGTCTCTTCCTAGACATCAGTGCGTGATGCTTCAATGCACTCTTTTCAAATGTCGGAGTAGTTTTTTTTTTTTTTTTTCCCACAAAACGTCAAGCTTCTGCTAAAGTACCGGGAAGAGTGTAATGAACCCTTATACACATCACTCAGCTCCCATGGTTTCACCTCATTTCGTCTGTAACCCCTCCACTACCCTTTTTTCCTGATTCTTGGAAGCAAATCCGAGACATCACGTCCTTTCCCCTGTAAATCTTTAGTATGTTCCTCTAGGAGAAACATAGCCACAAGCCATCATCACACTGACAAGTGTGACAGTATTTCCCGAATAGCTTCAAATATCCTCCTAGTGTTCAAAAATGTCATACAGATTTCCAGTTTGCTTGAATCAGGGCTCAGATAAAGTTCACACATTCAGATTGATTGACGTGCCTTCCGATTTTCTTTGAATCTAGAGATTCCCTCTCCATCTCCCTGCAGTTTATTCGTGGGAGAAACAAGTCATTCATCCCTGGACCTTCCCACACTTTAGGAGGAGATGATGGCTCCTCCATGGCATGGTTCATCGGGCTCCTCTGACCTTGTTCATTATGATTTTTCAGTAAATTGGTAATCGATCTGAGGGTCTGACCAGAGGCAGGTTGGATTTGTTGGTGTGTTTTGGCAGGGAGAATGTCTCTTTTCCGGGGTGTTGGCAGCTACTGAAACTCAATGCCCAGAGCAATTAAACCACTGGGGATGGAAAATGATGGCATTCGGACACCTTACCCTGTCTTCACCTGTTGGTGACCAAAACCTTAACATCTTAACAGGTCTTCTTACCCTGAGGGTATAGGCCACTAGGTCGTGTAGTCAAACCAGTGTGTTTCAAGTCCCTTAGAATAGTCCCTCTCTAAGTGATTATGCCACTCAGTGGATATGCATTTAGCTTCATTTCTTTTCTTGCTGATTTTCAGAGACTGTCGTTTAAACTGAAAATTTATTTAAATTTTATTTTACTTTATTTTATTTTTTTGAGACAGTCTTGCTCTGTTGCCCAGTTGGAATACAGTGGCACGATCTCAGCTCACTGCAACCTTGGCCTCCTGGGTTCAATTGATTTTCCTGTCTCAGCCTCCTGAGTAGCAAGGACTACAGGTGCCCACCACTACGCCCAGCTAATTTTTGTACTTTTAGTAGAGACAGGGTTTCACCATGTTGGCCAGGCTGGTCTCGAACTGCTGACCTCAGGTGATCTGCCCACCTCGGCTTCCAAAAGTGCTGAGATTACAGGCATAAACCACCGTTCCTGGCCACTTAAATTTTGTCTTATAATTGTGTAATAAAACAGTTAAAAGGTTCCAAATTAAACTCTAGAAAAGAAGGCGTGTTTTAGAAGTCTGGCTTCTCTGTGCCATCCTCCCCTTCTCTCTCTCCCTGTATTTCCTAGAATCACTTTGCCTGGGAGTTGACTTTAATTCTCTTGCTCACTGCTTTATGAAATTAGTTCCAGAACTTTCAGGAGGGAGGGACAGGCCATGAGGCCAGCTCTAGTTGCACTGGTGGCAGCTCCTGTCCCCTCCCCCACTGCTGCTGGCCCTGTTTTCTCCTTTACCCCGACGTCCCTGCACTGCCCAATTTGGACGGCGTGGGCTGCCAGGGAAGGGCACTGGCGCCTTGTTTTGAAAGGACTAGATTGCTCTGCGCCCTTGCACTTGCCTACAGGCCAGACGTCCCAAACCCCCCCAGTCTCCTCAGCTACTCTTCCTCAGTTCACCCCAACTGCTTTCCAGGGAAGAGCTGCCGAGAGTTTGGGGTCCTCTGTTCTTAGGTCCGTCAGCAGCCCCATCG